CTGCTGCATCCTGCTCTCTCCACATATGGTGGTGGGGTGCACATGGTGGTACCCAAGCCCGGGCAGGATGGGAGAGCCCTGTTGCAAGTGACTTAGTAACTGAGCAGCCAAGCCTCCCCCCTAGAATCACTGGAAAGAAAAAAAGATCAAGTGTGTGACATTTATTAACGTAATTTCAATTCTTGTGCTCATTCAGTTTGGATAATGAAAACAAACTTCTGGGTTTCACTTCCGTTTCCCTGCTTTCTCTATCTGCCTCAAGCTGGGCTGTCCCTGCCATGATGAGATGCTGTGTGGGGAGAGCAGGCACATCTGGGAATTACCTGCTTTAGGGTTTAAAGAGTCAGCGTAATTGCTTCATAAATACTTCTGTTACTGGGTGCACTTTAAGGTGTTATCTTCACACTTTTAACCATTATCTTGTCACAAACTGAAGTTCTTCAGTAAGAACAGAGTTAAATAAAATCCTGGTTTACTTGAAGTCAAATGTAGGAAGTTTAAAAATCAACTCTGCTGAGCTAACAAGATCGTTTTGTTGGACTTTTTCTCCGCCTGGGCTTGGTCTATTTGTTTTATTCAAATGAGAAAGAGAGGACCTGGCTTTCCTTGTCACAGAGGTTTCCTTTCGAAGGGGCCGTTTGTTTCTGCCCAGCCTGTGATCAGTTTCTAGCGCTGCAGCCTGTAACTGAACTTGCCAATTGGCAGTCTCGCATTCTGGATGGTCACCCATTTTATGTCAGAGCTGACGTGCATTACACGTTTCTGTTAGTTAGGAATTAAACCTATTAAATTGGCTGCTTTAATTCAGTAGGGGATCACACCAGCTATCGGGGCAGTGGAAATCCATCATGTCCTGTAGTTAAGAGGCACCGCAGCGCAGGGCATTGGAAAAGCCTGTCCCCAGAGAGCTATGGGAGGCACTGCAGAAACTTCGTGCTCTCTAGGTCTAATCCCTTTAATGATTGTGACCTGTGACAACAGTTCACTTGAGGGAGTTCCTGTGTTTGACCCAGCCTGCTCTTTTGTTTGAACAGCTCAGCACGTGGTGAGTAACAGCAGGAACCCCACACCCGGCTTACAGCTTCTGGATGCTGCCTTTCAATTATTTGTATAATTATCACATGTGGCTTATACCCAGCAGGGCCTGTGGGGAACGATGGTCAGGCTCATCTAACTGTGGGGAAGGTGCCCATGCTGCATTGCTCCTCGGGGAGGAGCAGGCATGGCACTGGAGCTCTGCTATGGGCTGCCCGACAGCAAAGCACTCTTGCTGGTGCTTTTCATTTGCAATGTGTAAAAGTGCAAAGGTGACTTCATCAAAGTGCTAGAGAGAAAGCACTGTGTGCTGAGCTAACAGGCTGGTTGGCTTCTTCCTTGTAGTGATTAGTGTCTTTAGAAGAATCCCAGAATGTTGTAATTAATTTCTGAGCATTAATTGTGAAGCTGTATGATGTGCCCATTGGAGACTCCTAGAACACAGGCAGAGCCATGTGGCTTGGTGAAGGCAGGCAGCCTGCAGGGCAGGCAGTGCTTAACTCGTCTCTCTTGAAACTGACAGCAGAAGCTCACTTGGTGCCTGATCTCCTGGTATGTGGGCTGGACCTGGGGCTTTCCCACCTCTCCTGAGGCAGAGGATGTGCTCCTAGAGCTCTGATGGAAGAGTGGCCATGCTGGATGTACCCAGTGTCATCCTTCTCCCTGGCAGCATGGCCACACTGCCTCTTGGTGCCAAGCACAAGACTGTGAAGGGGTGGCCATGTTGGTGCTACACTGGATGGGTGGTGGTTACATAACTTTTGGAGGATTCTAATGCATGAGCAAGAATGAATTCCAGCAGCCATGTGTAAAATAACCTTGTAAAACAGTATTGACAAGATCAGTGGCAGCTGAGAGCTGATGGTGCTTGACACACAGAGTGAGCGCTTGCTTCCTGATACCCAGCACATGGGTGTGTGCTTTGATACAGACAAGGACTTCAAATGTTGAACCAAATCACACTGGGAGCCTGCCTGGGATGTGGTTCCTTGAGCGATTCATACCCAAGCTGGATGGCAGCATTCTCAAGCAGTGAGTGGGATGTGGTCCAGCAGCCAGCTCTGCCCAGGAGGCTGGATTCCTGCTTGGGCTGCGCCGGGTCCTGTCTCCTCTCACAGCCCCAGATGGAGCAGCGCTGCTGGGTGGGGATGGTGTCTTTTGGTCCGCTGTGATGGGGCATGGGGCTATAGCATAGCCGCTGCCTGCTGCACTCAGCCAGTCAGTACATGGGTTCCATTCCAAAACTCTGCAGAAAACCCTGAGCTTTCTGGTGTGAGAAGTGTCAAGTGTGTGCAGGGGTTGAGTTTTTAATCATATTTTCCTTTTGTCTTCTCCTAACCCTTACGTGCCCTGCAGAACATGTACCTGCAGTAGCTCTGCTGGCAGTCCCAGTGTGGGCAGCTCTCCTGTGTGGGGCTGCTGGCCAGCACAAGTCAGACTCAGCATGCAAAACCTGGCATCCTTAAGCGTTCCTGCTGCCAGGCGAGTAGGCAGCTCTGTGCCATAGCAGCACTGCCCTGCCCTGGGCTAGAAAATGGAAGAAAAGAAAATGATTTCTCATAACCTCTTCTGAAAATGGCACAAAATAGCACAAAAGGAGCCTGAAGCTTTACAAAGGAAAAACCAGTCCCTTGGGATCTGGTTTATTGTCCTTGGTGATGTTCAGAGCAGAACACCACCTGCTGCTTTGAAACCCTTCCAATGTTCCTGGTTGCTTTTGCCAAGCGAAGGTCTGCCACATGGGAGGAAAAGGTTCAGCGTGGGAGTGAGTGGGGGGAGAGATTGTGCGAACCAGAAATCCCGGTGCTGTGTTCTGCCATCTGCTCTGTAGCCGGTCCAGGGCTGTGGGTGGTTTCCCACAGCACTCCCCTCGCTGCCATGGCCGGCGGCTGGCTTTGAACTCCGGTGCTGGCACTGCAGGGCCGGGTGAGATCTGTGTCTCCCGTGTCCCACAGGAGCTGCCCTTTGGCCGGGCGAAGCTGGGCACCGTGTCCTGGCTGGTGGCTGCGGGCTGTGCGGGCAGCCAGCTCCAGAGCAGCATGGACCTCAGTGCCTTTGGCATGGGGCGAGTGAGTGCCAGGAGGTCCTGGCGTGGACACCCCCTATGCCATGCCCATAGGGAGAGCTCTGCCTGCAGTGCCTGGGGCTGTGGCTGCACACCCCTCTGCTCCGCACCCCTCTCCTGCCCACCCCTGCTTCGCTTTCACTTGGGAATGTGACCTTGCTCTCTAGATTATTTACAGACAAAATATTGCTGCAAGCCAGTGGAAGGGTTTTCTGTTGTTTTTCTTGTTTTCTTTTCAAGTGACTGAATTCCATGAAAAATGAATTATTTCAAGGGGTGTGTGGGGCCTGGTGGGAATGCTTTGCTGTGTTTGGGAACAGGCTGCCCAGAGCCTCTCTCCTGGCCAGCCCAGAGGTGAGAGATGCTCTTAGATTCCCTACCCATAGGAAACAATCATCTTTCTCTGGTTTTCTTAGAGAAACTCACCCCAGGCTAGGGGAAGGCTGCCAGGACAGGACACCAGAATTAACACGGATGTGGCACACGTGTAACTGGGACTGGGCTCCTTCCCTGCTTGTGTGAGCGGGTGCATAGTGCTGGCTGTGGGGAAGGGAAGAGCAGAAGCAGGGATAGCTTTCCTTAGCTCCCCCTCCTGCACCCCTAGAACCACGGCTCTCCACTTCCCACCACTTGGGAGCCCCTGGGCCTCCTGCTGCGCTTGCGACACGGGCTGGGTTTGCTGCGCACTTCAGGCAGAGCTGTCACATCCGATCGGAAGTGGTGTGGGCTCATGTCTCCTGTTTTGTTTTTACTGGCAGGACCAGCAGCTGCCCTTTTCCCCGCTGCTGACAGTTCTTCTGTCCAGCTTAACTTCTGAAAGCCTCATGGTGGTGGTTTCCCACTGTGCAGAGACATGATGCCTTTGACCTTGCACCGCTGCGGTACCCTTTGCATGCTGCTGGAGGCCGTGGAGCTGCTCATTGTGCACAATAATGTGTCATTAGGTTCAAGCAGCGTTGGTTGTGCACTGGACAGTGAGGATGCTGAAGGAATGGAGGTGGTGCGCCTAGGGACCTTTGATCAACCAAACATGATTAACCATCTTGCAGCAGACTTGTCTAGTTGGTGGAGCGGTGCTAACTGTGGTGCTACTGAGCTATGGAGCACTCTGTGCAAACTGTAAATAGCGTTCTAGTTATACATAAGGGCAAAATCCAATGAATTTTGTGCAGAACAAAATCTGAAGTTTCCGTGCCTAAAAAGCCATGGGGATGAAGGCCTGGTCAGGAAAAACAAGTGGAAAAAGGCTTATTATTTTAGTCAAATCCTTGATTTGGCTGTAGCCAAAATGCTTAGTGGCAGGGTAGAAACCTACCAGGTTAGAGACAGCAATACCACCGAGATCTTGTGCAGCAGCAGCATATAGAGCTAAAGGGCATCATGAGGCTGTGTCTGTAGGGACTGCTCCCTATCGATGTGCTGGCTGACCTCTTTGTGCAAGCAGCCCCTTGCCCTGTGAGGACTCCAGCACCTGACCCTGGATCTGCTTCTATGCATGTATAATGCTGCTCCTCACTAACAGGGTCTCTGGCACATTGCTTCCAGCCAAGTACTAGTGGCTTGACTGGCTTGAAAAACCAAGTGTGACCAGCCCCATGCCAAGCAGGGGTGCAGAGCAACCCTAGTAGGTGCCTGGGGAAGGGGTCCAGTGGTGCTGCTGGTGAGCAGCTCTCCATAGCATTAGATCAGTAGTATCCCAGTCCTCTCAGGGTAAGCCTGAGGATTTGATGTGTGCTCCTGCCCCCTTAGATTAGGGAATCGGGCATCCTGAGCGAAGCATCTTCTCTGCCTGGGTGTCCAAAGCATTTAATGATCTCAGCAGCAGATGGATAGGTGGTAAAGAGATCGATTGCTTCCTGCAAGGTACATGAAGTCCCACCTTTCCTGCAGAAACACCAGGTAAATAATAGGTTTTAAATCCCCTCTTGCAGCAGCTGACCCTACACGTGTTTATCCAAGTGACTGGAGTTGTGCCAGTCCCTCTGGTAAGTGACCTTTCCCGAATTTTTCTTTTCAAGTTGACATTTAAAAAGGGGGGGAAAAGTCATAGCAACAAACAGTGTTTTAACAGCGATAAAGCCATACCCGTCAACAAAGCCAGGAAAGCTGCTCCGGAGCCTGCTCCGGCGGCTCTGCTGTCCCTAATGGAGCCTGTATGGACAGCACTGGCTTGTGCTTCCCAACCTGCTTGGTTTTGCATGAACCAATGCCCGTGGGCTGGGCTGGGCGCCTCCGCAGCTCCAGGGAAAGGCTTGTGGGGTACAATTAAGCATAAGCCAGCTGCTGGCAGCTGGAGGCACTCACGGTATTAGCTCATTACTGAAATTCAAATGAAGAAGAGTCTTAAATCTCTGAAAGGAATCTGGGTTTGGCAGGCAGTGGAGCACTTGGCTGATATTGAAAATGCCTTGGACAATTTACTGTGTGTTTGGGGGGAGTAAAATTCACCCCTAGCTTCCATGTTCCTTGGTTCTCAGCTTCAGCACTGCTGTGACACAACCCCTCACCCCTGGCAATAGTCTCACAGGGAGATACTTAAGCAATGAAGTGCCTGTGCTTTGCAGGAAGTTTACATCTAAAGCCCAGATGAGCTCCTCTTCCAGGCTGGGCATCACTGAAGGGTTCCCCAAATCCTACTCTCCCCATGTCCTGGCCAATGCCATAGCTCTGCCATGCCAGCTGCTAGCCACTCCATCTCCACTGGGCTCTGTGGCATCTCGTGTGTGTCCCTGCCTTCTCCATCTGTAAAGCACCCTGCAGCCCTTACCTGTGTTTTTGGTTTACTTGCAGGTGGTGAGCAGGACTGTGAGCAGCAACCAGTCTGGGGTGTTGGAGTCTCCCTGGAATCCCCCCTCTGGCTCCTCTCCTTGATGTGCCACTAGGAATGATTTCCACCAGGACCACTCCAGGGACGGCAGCATGGAGTGCCTGCATGGTCCTGCCTTGACAAGAGGAATTGAAACAGGGACATTCCAGCACTGGTGTTTCCTGTAGCTGGAGGCATAGGAGATCCATGGGAAGCACCTGTCAGCAGGGATCCCCCAGAACTGGGTGCTTCCCAGGCCTTTCTTGCAGATGGCTCAATGGGAGAGGCTGCAAAAAGGTACGAGACAACAAGGGGACCAGGGCAGTGGCAGCACTTTGGTTGTGCAGGGACATGCTGTGGCTCAGGGTGGTGCTGGGCAGCTCTGCACCAGAGTCCTTCTAAGCATGGGGGCTGGTGGCAAGCTCTGCTTAAACCAGTGTTTATGACACATTTCAGTTGAGGAGCACCTAAGCAGTTCTGCCATGACAGGCCTGTTCTGCGCTTGGCCTTGCGGTGATGCCGTTTCTTGCATTTAATCTGTTTGTGCAAGAGGATAAAACAATAATGAAATAAACCCCAGGTAAGTCCAATGGCAAAGATGCTTTTAGTGAGCTGATAGCCAAGCCTCATCTTTGCAGTTCACTGTGTCCCTGTGCAGCCCTGGCTCTGCTGCTGGGGAGGGTGGGACACTGCAGCCCCTAAGGTGCTGGGAATGGAGACTGGCAGCTCACAGATCCCCCTGTTAGGAGTGCCCACTCCCCTACTGCTCCTGAGAGGTCTCTAGGCTCTTAATGTGAGACAAGCAAGCTTTATTGCCAGGCTGCTGCTGGAGTGATGCTCATTCAAGGCTCTGTGGCTGCTCAGTGGTGATGGCAACTTTGGGACTTCATCCACTGAGTTGTCTTCAATCCATCTCAGCAAGATTGCCTCGTTCCGCTGCTGCTCACAGTCAGCTCGGCTGTTGGCTTCCTGCAGGGCCGGTACGTGAGCTCTGCAGCAGGGCTGCCTGTATCCAGAGCCTTCCTTCCCCTGTGATAACGTCAGCGCTGGAGAGCAGGCGGCTATTTTGGTCCCAGGAATGCCAGCGGATGATTTCACTTTTGTTTTGTACCCGATAACCTTTCCCATCACAATGAGAGACGACATCCGTGCTCCCTGTGCTTCTGTGTGCGAGGGGAAAGCCATTCAAGTGCCTCTGCAGGGGAAAAGAAAAAGCCAGTTTAAAAATAGCTGCCCAATTGTCCGTGGAGCCTGGGCAAAAGGAAGGGCAAAAGCTTCTCCATGCTGCACTGTGCACTGGGGTCGGCTTCCCTGGGGCTCAAAGACGGCAACCGTGGGAATATTTGCTGTGCTGGCTTTTCCCATCAGCCTCCTGCAGACGGGAAGGTCTGAGAGGGACTTTCTTCTCCATGCAGAGCCGTCCCAGTGTGGGGCTTCAGGAGAGCTACAGCAGCTCCTTTTGCCCCCCACCTACCCATCTCTGCCCCTCCTGCCCTTCCCTGAGTCCTATCCCTGCAGGGTTTCATGTCTGGGAGCTGGGTCAGGAGCTTGGCAAGACAAACCCACCCGGGGCCGCAGGCGAGATAAATCTTGTCAAACCCAGACTGCTGAAGCTGAGCTCCAAGTTTTGTTTCCTGTGGGGAAGGAGCTGGCTGAAGTAACTGGCTTTTAACTTTCAGGCTGTGACTTCCCACGAGCTGCTGACCCGCCATGTGACAGGAGCTGCTGCAGGGCCCTGCACCGAGATGCTGTATCACTGGATAACCGAGCTGCACTGGGGCCACAGCAAGCCCCGTGCTCTGGTGGAGAAGGGCTTTGTGGTACCCATGGCACAGACAGCATTGGCTACCAGACCCAGGTGGGAATGGGCAACCCCTGATTTGCTTAAAGAGGGAAGGCAGCAAGTTTATGTAGCACCAGACCCCCTCTCCTATGGAGAGATGCTTCTCTGCTCCTCTGGGGCTGTGTGGCACCGCTCACCAATGCCTGCCCTGGCCTCCAAAGAACATTACAGGCCATTTTGCAAGCTATGGGCAGCAGGGTGGCTGCCTGAGTTCCAGTTTGATCTCTCCCTTTGCTCATTGAGAGGTTTTTGCACAGTCTCCTGAGCACATGACTCCACGTGGCTCCAAACCTGCCCTTGTCCTTCCTGAGCTGGAGCCTGTTTACAAAACAGAGGCTGAGGGCTGCTATTTATCCTTACATACACATTACATTCAGAGTTGCTAAACAGGCAAAGCCAAAATGAAAGTCATCCGAGTTTTCCTTAATTAGGATAAGACCCTCATGAATCATGAGGTTCTTTACCTCAAGGTTGCACAAAGAATTGACTTTGGCAGCAGACATCAAGGTACAGCAGTCAGCAGAGCTCGCTCACTGCATTGACATCTGCTGGAAAGACTTGTTTTTCCCTCCCAAGTCACATGCTAACTTGTGATGTGATCATGAGATACAAAGGATAACCTTCCAATATGTACTTTTCTCATCTGGATTTTTAAAAGGCAGAGGAAAAGAGCAAAAAGCAATGTAAGCGAGGGGGGGAAAGCCTCCCTGCCTCTTTTGGTTAGTGTTGCTGTGATTGCTGCTGGGACAGGGCAGGAGACTGGCTCCAGCGTGATGGGCTGCATGGGTGACGGAGAGCATCGGTGAGAAGAGCATCAGTGTGGGCAGAGCTATGTGTGTTCACCCCATGGGTGTCCCCTTCTTCACCTGTGTGCCCACAGAGGTGAGCAGAGGCTGCCTGTTCCAGGGTAGCCTGTGCTGGCCCAGGCAGAGGGAACTTTTTCTGGCCCTGTGCCATCCCATCCCTCAATGTTAAGCTCTCATGTTTGATTATAAATGTCAAAGTAACTATTTTTAATAACAATATCCCAATGTAAGCAGCTGGGCAGGTGGAATTATTTGATATGTGTTCTAGTCCAAAGGTTTATAGTAAGCCCAGCTGCAAGATTAAGCCAGAATCACCCTTGAATAAAATCCCCCATATAATCTTTGGGGAATTTTGCTAGTGCAGCTTGGGTATGTTTACTTCTGTGAGATGATGCTTATCCAGCACCAAAAACCCCCAGAAACCCATCATGGTGCTGACACGGGCGATGTTCAGGCTGCTGAAGGCTTTGGTGTGAGAGGAGTTCTTGCTGAGGAGCGTCTAAGGCAAAGCAATGGGGCAGGGTTGTTTATCTTCCAAGCTGGAGAGGTGTGTGCCATTGACTACCAAATTTGAATAAGGAGGTTGCTGCCCATGGTTTGCATGCAGGCAGCACTCCTGACTTGCACCTACAGCAGGATTACTCTGGGAACGGCAGGCAGAGATGAGCAGTGTGTGCATGTGTCTGTCTGTTCAGGGCTGGGAGCAGCTACGCAGAGCAGGAAAATGCAACAAGTCATGGCCATACTTTCCAAAACCCCATCACCATGGAATGACCCTGGCTGCACGTCTGCCAGGCACTCACACTGGTGGGAAGAGCTGAGGTTGGGTGGCCTCTGCAGCTGTGTGTGGGATGACCGGCCTGGCATCATCCCAGTTACTCAGTACTTCACCTCCAATGCTGCAGAGCCTGTGTGTGACACACTGTGTGTCAGCCTGACACAGGGTGAAATACTCACTGTAGCTGTCCTAGGAAGAAGTCACTGCGAGGAGGAACATAAAGGGGTGGATGTCTCACTGGAGGGGGACAGCCAGTACAAACCCTGTTACAAAAGCACTGCCCGCAAGAGCCACGCGCCTGTCCACAGCTCGGCCACAGCTATTTCAGTGCCAAGACAGGGCTGAGCACGGAGGTGTTTCCAGTAAACACACTCATTGGTGTCATGCGGGGAGGGAGGGAAGTGGGATGGAGGGCACAGCAGAGACACCCTCCCTAGTAGGGAGGGCACGAAGGCAGGGTGTCTGCTGGGTGCCTTTAATGTGGTGAATGGTGCTTTGACTGCTGTAGGAAGGTAGACTTTGATGTTTTGGGGAGGATGGTTGGGTGATGAACTTGCAGTAGAAATAGATGAAATCCAGCCTGTAAGGCTCAGCTGATCCCTGCACCTCCACCAGGACCACAGCATTTGTGAGAGACTTTGGATAGCTGGAACCTGATACAGTCCCTAGGCTCGAAGCTGGGGGAACATGAACAGGAGATGATTTTAAACTAAAACCAAAGCAATCCCTAATAAAGAGCTGTCTCTAGCAAGCAGGGTTATTTCTGATTTCAGGTCTTGAGAAGTTTTGGAACTATTTCGGTCAAATTACGTGTCTCCTGCTGTTACAGGAGCTTCACTCTGCAGTGTCCTGAGCCACCCTCCCATCTCCACACTTAGTGCAAAGACCAGTGTTTTTATCCTGAACATCAGACTATCCTCTTGCCTTAGGCAAGTATTTCTGTGGCCTCTGCAGCAGCATTAGCCAGAGCTCTTTAGGAGCACTGTGACACACTAATGGGGGGGTTGGTGTGCAGTTATCAGGGGTCCGTGCAGGACGGCAGCAAGCCTGCCTCTGGCTCGTGGGCATTTGGAAGGAGTTTGGGAGTTCTGAACGTAGCTGATTTGTTGCTGTGCAGTCTGGCTCAGTGGCTGGAGGGGGTTTCAGCCTACGGTCGGTCCATGGGCCGCAGAGGGCAGATGCCCCATCCCTGGTGAATGACTTTGGTCCTTCTGCTCTCCCTTGTTGGTGATGGCGTGTGTCTCTCTAGCAGGTTTTGCTGTGCAAGGTGTTTGTTCTGCAGCAGTACAGCGTGGAAGGCTCAGGCAGAGGGAGGCAGCCAGGAGAGTGCTGCGGGGCAGGACACACATAGCAGCTCCAGGTGTGATCGTTCCTCATGTGAGTGCACGGGGAAGGAGATGCACTGCTCATCCCTGAGTGTGGTGTAGGCACTTGCTCCTGGACAAGAAAGCAGTCCCTGTTCTTAAGGAGATGAACAAATCCCAAAGAACATCCTCTTGGAGTGGCCCCTCCCGCCTGCTTGTGTTCCTAGAGGACAACGAGGGCTTTGTAACTGCCCAGGGCTCTTGGGAACCAAAACAACCTCTGTGTGAGCTCAGTGGCTGTAAATCAGCGGGCTCCACCGGGTGCTAGTGCTGGGTAAATTTAGTGCCGATTGCTTTGATCTGAAATGCTTTCATTTCATACCCTCCACAGAGATAGACACAAGGTCAGACTAACGGCTAATACATGAAAAACGTGTGTGGTGGTTATTGATTTTGCAGTGATTAATGATCCAAAGGGAAGGACGGTGATTCATGCACAGGAACAGTGCCTGGGAATGAGCAACACCGACTGAGGTGGCCTTTTAATTCCAGCATCAAGCCTGTTTCCCACTCCTCAGGGGTAGCAGCACTGCTCTCACTGATGTCCTTGCACTGGGCAAACACTCACTGGTACACTGTGAGCTCTCGCACCCGTGTCTGAGCTCTGTTTGACTTGCTTTTGCTCTCTGTTTTGCAAGGGGATCAAAAAGGCCAAACCTAAAGATTTACTGTGCTCTTACTGTCAAAGGCTCTTGAAGCTTTCCTGCTGCTGTCCCAGGTGGCCAGGAGAGGCCTGGGAGAGGGTATGGCACGGCACCTTGCCCAGGCTCACACTGGGAGGCATTGTGGCTGAGTGCCTGCAGGAGGGATCACTGGGGTCAGCCCTTTGGTTACCAGTCAGTGATCTCTCAATGAAGGAGTTCCAAAGCTCTCTGCTGTGATCAGCCTTGCAGGTGATGTTTTTAAAGATGCTTTTCCACCTCTCAAGCACATGGGACTCCCCAGAGGCTGCCAAGCTGTAGCAGGGTGCATGCTCTTCTTCTAGAGCCACCCGTGGATGGGGACAGCAACTGCCCGGGTCACTCTGTGCCACAGACACAGCTGGAAACTGGTGCAAGGGGAAGTCCCCCTAATTCTGGAGGGGGAAATCAGGCCCTGTTTGAAGGATCTGGGCAGCAGTTATGCAACTTTCCTATTTGGTATTTGAGAAAACTTCCCCCTCCTGGCTGTTTTAGCCTTGTGACTATGACTAAAGTCATCATGTTGCTACCAAGGCTCCTTCTGCTGGGCTCATTGCTTTTATATTAGCTGTCTCGCTGAGTGGGCCAGACCTCCTACATCTCTTAGGGCCTGAAGACTCACCACACTTTGAGTACCACTTGTTGCCAGCACTAGTGTTTATTTTTCTCTCTCACAGTTGTTTATGTTTTTCCGTTGCTGAAGGCAAAGACATGTCCTCTCTTTGGCAGCATCATGGAGGAGGTGATGCTTTGCTGTAAGAGCAATTGCTCAGTTATGGTGGTGACCCTCCTGGGGCCATGCATCCCTCACACCCCTCCTTGGGGTGCTCAGTGCTGAGGCACAGGCAGGGTAAATGTGGCCAGGAAGGCAGGCGGGGGCTGAGGCAGGAGGTGGGAATGCTGGAATGGATGAGGTTTGTTCCATGTGGATGGATTCAGGGGTAGGAATTTCAGAGTTGGTGGTGATACGTGTGTGTGTTGCTGATGCCGGTTAGCTCATCACCCATCCCTGTGACCAAGCAAGTCAACAAAGGATGACATACGATGGTGCCATATGGTGGTTCCTTAGGGAACCTGTGTTCTGCTTTGCAGGAAGTCATTATGTGGCAACACAAACATGGACACAGGTGAAGGTCCACAGGTACCGGATGGGTTCAGGCTACGTGGATGCCAGTGCACACAAACCCATTCAGCCACATGCAGGGAGGTGTCATGCCATCTGCACCTCGCTCAGTGGCACTGGCTCCCAGCCCATTTGTGGCTGGAGCTGTAGAGGTGCTTTGAACGTGCTGAGGAGACCAGGGAGCTGCATACATTGGACATACATAAGTCCGTGTCCTCACACTCCCAGACCTCCCTCATTCCCCCATTCATGCTGCAGCAGAATAATGTCCCAGCACACCGGGGTGCACTGCCCTAAGGGAAGGGGCAGGAAAACCTTCCCAGTGGCACAGCTTGGTGACAGCGTCCCCCCTGCGAGTGGCTGCAGTACAGTGCTCATGCACTCTGCTGTTAACACAGAAACTGACTGGTCCCACATGCCCAACGCCAGCTCTGCGTGTGACTGGGAATGGTCCCAGTGGGGTCCTCATTCCTGTTCAGGAGCAGTCGAGGGCCGTTGTCTCCCTCCAAGGGGCACTATAGAGACATGGGGTGCTGGCCCCAATGCTGACCTGCTACCACTGGCATGGCAGGAGAGGGCAGGAAGCATCACAGAAAGGCATACCAAGAGAGGCTGTGTGCTCCCAAATTAGCTACCAGGCCAGGTCGGTTTTCCTGTTTACTCCCGAAGTGGAAAATAGGAAGAGAGTGAAAAACCTCATCCCTTCAGCTATAAAAAGACCTTGTTGTGTAGGAACAGGAATTTTACCTTCTTTCCATTTTCTGCCTTGGTGGCGCCAGGTGTGTGGTGTGGGCTGCAGCGGGAGCAATGCAAATAAAGTGGAATGCCGGGAATGGCAGCTCCTCTGGAGGAGACGGCTCCTTTCGGGCAAAGAACTGGGCCCAGTCTGCTGGTGAGCAGTTGTGTCAGGGTTTCACAAAGCACGAGGGTCACAGAGGAGAATGCAGGGTTTGTGTGGGTTGTGCTGGGACACGAAGCCCTCACCAGTATACCTGGTACTTGCACAGGGCACAAGGCTGATGGCTGCTCACAGCTCCAGAGTGCGGGGTGGAAGGTGAAGAAACCACATCATCCCTACAGCGTTTCATGGGCAGATGGCAATAAAAAGGTTGGCTGGTGGGTTTGGTCAGCAGGAACGAGGGGTAGGAGCAGATAAGATATTGCCATGGTGGGAAAATGGCTGGGCTGTGTGTCAGGTTTACAGCATCAGGATGAGTTATTGGGATCCTAAACCCTGCAAACCTAGTGAGGTTGCTAAACCTTGTTTGCCTCACATTGTTTGTCCAAAATGATACCGAGAGATGAACTTGTTCTTCCCTTCGTAATTGGCAATGTTCTTATCTGAAGCCTCCAAAGTGTCCTAGAGACTCCTCAAGGAGATA